CATAACCCCCGGATAAGGATACAACCCGATTTCAAGTATATCTTACATTTTAACCATATTTTCATACTATTTTCGGCAAATGTTGGTAATTTGGGAAGAAACCATCCATGCAAAAACTGATCATCATATGATTTAAGGAACCGGACATTTGTTTAATCGTCTTTGAATTATACTATGATAAAAGATATGGAAATTATGGGGTCTCCAACGCGCAATTTCAATGATACTTTAAAAACAAGTAAAAAAAATTAAGTTCGGCAGGACAGAATTATTACTTTCATCCATCTGAGGGTAAAGGAAACATTTTTATATAAAAGTATCTAAATTCAAGCGTGTTTCACTTTAAACTTCATATACCAGTAAGACTGGATAATGCAGTTAACTTATCAAAAAACCATAAAGTGAATGAGGCCGTTATATGGGGTCATTCCAAAACGGGAACCTCTGTGGACAATTTTATACTTCAAGGATTGTCACCTTCTAAAATACCAAAGTTAAAACAATTATACGCGTAAATGTGTGGATTATCAACATACCCAATATAGGTAGGTATCGTTATATGTGTTAGACAAATCCGAGGAGAAATGTGGCAAAAATCATCAAAATACCGAATTTCGAGAGATACCGTTATATGGGGACTATACCAAAACGTGAACCGATAGATCATTTTCAATACCAACCATCCTATACACATTACAAATTTTTCAGCTAAATTTTGACGCTATACGTCAAATAATGTGGGCTGTATCGTAATTTAAACAAACAGACATACAGACGGACAAATCGACTTAGAGTTTTATACTGATTATGAATATATATGCATATTTAATGGGGTCTATGACAAACATTTAGTGATGTTACAAATGGAATGAAAAGTTAATATACCCTCCTTTCCAAGGTGGATGATATAATAGCATTAAAGACTAAAATTACGGGCCTGCAACGCGGACCGGGCCTGCTAGTCTATATATATATATAAATCAATTGTTGTTCGTTGGCAATGGAATCAGTTGAGAACGGCTGAACCGATTTGCATAATTTTTGTTCAAACGTTCATCATACCCCGGGTTAGGTTTTTAAAGAAAAAAAATATTGACCACGCCTACTGTTACGCACACTATTTCGATTTATCTAAAATCCTTAGTATTTATTTGGGCCTGAGGAACTGGCCACACCTACTTCTGTAAATTTATATGTGAAAATTTTAAAAAAGTATAGTAACACATCAGTTGAGAACGGCTGGGCCGACTTGACTCAAATTTTCTTTTGGTTATTTGTAATTACATTGGAAACGTTTTGAGAAAAATCGCGGAACTGGAAAAATTGACTGTTCTTTTATGATATGGAATTTTGTGTGGAATTGTTTAAGAATTCCTTTTGGAATTGAAAATTCTTATTGAAAAACAAATAAAAAAACATTAAGTTCGGCCGGGCCAAACTTTTAATACCCTCCACCTTAGGGTAAAAGAAACATTAGAAGAAATGTGGCAAAAACCATAAAAATTCCGAATATCGGGAGGTACCGTTATATGGGGGCTACACCAAAAGGTGGACCTATAATTACAATGTTTTGCCACACGAACTAGAACCCATTATGACCCACAAATACCAATTTTTAGACAAATCAGTGAAAAAATGTGGCAAAAACCATCAAAATACCGAATATCGGGAGGTACCGTTATATGGGGGCTATATCAAATCATGGACCCATGCATGCAATGTTTCGCCACCGAAGCTGGAACCCATTATGACCAACAAATACCAATTTTCAGACAAATCCGTGAAAAAATGTGGCAAAAATCATCCAATTACCGAATATCGGGAGGTACCGTTATAAGGGGGCTTTACCAAAACGTGGACCTACACATGCAATGTTTTGCCACACGCTCAGGCACCCATTATGACCCACAAATACCAATTTTTAGACAAATCAGTGAACAAATGTGGCAAAAACCATCAAAATACTGAATATCGGGAGGTACCGTTATATGGGGGCTATACCAAATCATGGGCCCATACATGCAATGTTTCGCCACCGGAGCTGGAAACCATTATGACCCACATATACCAATTTTTAGTCAAATCCGTGAAAAAATGTGGCAAAAAAAAATAACATACCGAATATCGGGAGGTACCTTTATATGGGGGCTATACCACAACGTGGACCTATACATGCAATGTTTTGCCACACGCTCAGGGACCCGTTATGACCTACAAATACCAATTTTCAGACAAATCCGTGAAAAAATGTGGCATAAATCATCAAAATACCGAATATCGGAAGGTACCGTTATATGGGGACTATACCAGAACGTGGACCGATATATCTCATTTTCAATACCAACCATCATAGACACAATGCAAATAGCTCTGCTAAATTTTGGCCCTCTACGTCAAATAATGTGGGCTGTATCGTGATTTCAACAGACAGACGGACAGACAGACGGACAGACAGACAGACGGACATCGTTAAATCGACTTAGAATTTTATGCTGATTATGAATATATATACTTTATGGGGTCTAAGACGAATATTTAAGGATGTTACAAACGGAATGACAAAGTTAATATACCCTCCTTTCCAAGGTGGAGGGTATAAAAAAACGGAAAAAAATCTAGAAAGTTTGCATATTTTCTATACATGCTGCTATATGGTTGCCATACCAAAATTTTCAACTTTGATTAGATATGGAAATAATCCGTCCAATGAGAACTCAAAATGCAAAATTCATTGGGACTTCAATCAGTGAAATACCGAATATGAAGAGGCACTGTAATATGCGGACAATACAAAATAGTGAAGTTAATTGAAAATATAGTAAGAAAAGGATTCATATACTCGGAAAATTCTTCCAACCCTTAAAAGTAACCATAAATCATAGATAACGTTATACGGGCACTATGCGCTATCGTCAGTAATTACACTGCGCCGACAATCTTGGGGTTAGGAATATTTTCGGTTGGTAAATAAAAATCCCAAAAGAGGGGTACCCGGATCAAACTTTTTTAGAGTCAAAAGGTCGCAAATATTTTTCCCTATTCTCCGCAAAAGTTACGATAATGTTTTAAATTTGATAGTTACATGAGGAATCATTTGTACAAAATATGTATCAGGTTGGTGATATAGCCTACTTTAAATTCCTCAAATGTTATTAATTTGAGATTTTAGAAAGAAAAACAAATTAAGAGTATAGGACCATGCTTCATTATAACTCTTATGTGAAGGTATTCGGTGATTTTAGCTATTACAAGGGTTTTGGTCACATTTTTCAATTGTTTTTGCCCTTATTTGGCATCTAGCTTCTGGTAAAAGACCTTTTCGCGGAAATATTCCAATGTCATTGTTTCGGAGTATGGCTCATATAGAAGTACCTCCTGATTTTACCTATTTCGAGGGTTTTAATTATATTTTCGAATCGATTTGACTTAAAATCAGTGTTTAATGTACTTTGGGGGTAGAGAACCATCTTACATGGGCCTATTATAAACAGTTAATGTATACTTTTTAATATATATATTATATTAATTAGGGTTTTAACTCTAAAACTAAAACCTCTTACTTAAAAATAGGATCAGGTTTTTTAAAAGACGTATTTATTTCTATTTAATCGAGCCATAATTTATACTATACGAGTCATCATTTATATTTATACTAAAAATGGTGCCACTTATGTGAGCCAGATGTGTGAATTATTATGCTCTAAAAACTATGCATTAAAGACTAAAACTTCGGGCCTGAAATAGGATTAAGCATATATATATTGGAGCTACATGACCCGATTCTCTCCAAATTTGATGTCTAGACTGCATTCGGTCGGATGTACAGAAACCCATGACTTTTGGATAGATATTGGCTATTTGGTGTACAATTAACCCGAAATCGGTTGAAGATATATATGGGAGCTAATTTCAAATCTGATCCGATTATCACCAATTTCAATAGGGTTCGTCCTTGGGCCAAATGACCTGCATTTTGTTCACAAGAATACATGCGTCCGTCCATGGACGGACTGACATGCATAAATCGACTTAAAAGTGATTCTATGAATGACCTAAAAAGTAACTATGGGACTATCTCGCTTCCTTCTCCATGTTACAAACAAATGCAGAAAGACATAATACTCTTACCACCATGTGGTGTAGCGTATAAACACTTGAAAAACCTATATGCCGAGCGTGAAGGAAACTGCATTTTTTAAGTTAAGTCGCATTTCTTTTGCAATTAGAGAATTCGAGGTAGCAATCGTATCCTCAATTAAATTGTTGTGTAGTTTTTTACTGTTTAAAATCATATACCAATCTGAACCGATTGCAAAAAAATCCGTTACACATTCCATATTTAATGGAAGTTGGTGCGTCAAATATGTGAAATCAGCCGAGAATATATATGGGAGCTATATCCAATTTCTAATTAAATTGTCGAATTTATTGTTGTAAACAAATTCCGCCACATATTCTGGATTTTATCGAAATCGGACATACATATCGTTTTTGGTGCATAACATATATGATATCGGCCAAAATAGATAGATATGGGAGCTCTACCCAAACCTCAACCGATTTCAATGTAATTTGACAAATTTTTTTTTGGTACCAAAGTTTGTCTCTCTGACCGAATTTCATTCGTTGTATGTCCGATACACATCGCGTTGGGTGCATCAAATATGTAAAATCGGCCGAAAATATATATTGGAGCCATATAATTTGGCAAACAAATTGTCAAAGTATCAAAAAATGCTGATCCGACTGAAGAGATAGTTGATTATGCGATTCAAGGTATGTTTTTATTGTCATATAAGATTCGAAAACGTGTAGGTTTTCAAAAAGTTTCTTGTAATTGTATTTACGCTTTACGTGTGTAATATTTGCTATGCGTTTTCCTTTTTAGTTAACCAAAACCTATATCATACGCACATGTATTTGGCGATATCTGCTTCGTACGCGCATGACAGGACTTTATTATGACGTAGAGAATTGGTTTCGAATGACATGTAGTTCGCTAACTATTAGTTTATCAAGCCGGAATATTTTCACATACATTAACGGCGTATAAAATTGCCAACACTATAGGAACTCTTGCATTATTATTACTCTAAAATTAAATACAGACCTCCGCAGGGAATTAATAAAACAATTATAAGTGAAATCCCCAATCCACAATACGCTGAGAGGAGGGCAAAATATAAATTGAAGACTTTTTGTAAACTAAATAGACAACATTACTCAATTTCGTTTAATATACAGAACAGGATAATAATGGCGTTTCTCCTGCATATATATGTAATCTCAACAATTTGTTTCTGTCTTATATGCGGAACTAAAGATGGTCAGTATTTAATACGAAAACATACAAATGTCATAAAGCTATTGCTAATAAAATTGTCGTTTTCTATGTTTTCGTATGTATTAATAAGAGTCTTAAAGTAGGTTGAAAATGCAATTAGTAATTGAGCGGAGCTAAATTATAGAAGAGAAACTTATAATTAAAAAAGTTATGTCTGTTTGCTAAATATTCTTAAGTAATGTTATGAAATGCTCTCTGTTTACTCCTAAGTTCAATAAAACAAAGATAATTTAGTGAGCGAGTGTGTTCCATGGTGAAAATTTTCAGTATAATATTTTTGTGTGGATATAAAAACAAACAAGAATTACATTATTTTGCCTGACAAAATCTGATTCTACCATTGTCTTGCAAACATTTTAAAAGATTCGTTTCCATTAAAATTCTAATCCGCTGCCGTTGAAACTTCGAACTTAACTACAAAATATTGGAATTTAAAAAATGCAAAAAATGCAAAAATAGTTTTTTATACATTTAGAATACATACAAAGCTTATATATCAATTGAGCATAAATGGGATGTGTTTTCAAAGGAGAATCAAAATGGCATATACCTGAGACCTTCGACATATCGAAAATCAAGGTCAATTTAATTAAGACACAGAGGAGACGATTTTTTCCCTTTCTGCCAGAATTTGTCTAAAGAGGCACATCAGAAAAATGAAGCATTTAAATATATATCACTAATAATAAATTTAACCTGTGTTTATGTGTCCTTTTTCAGAACAATGATATTTACTATATATTCAAAGTTCGGACGGGCTAAACATAGCACTTTTTTGTTTTGTTTACATGCATTTACCGTATGGTAAATATAAAACACATCCGCAAATAACAAAAACAACTTTATATATTCCGTTACGTATTTTAAAACATATCATTTTGTACTTTTATTACTTTGTCTGCTAAAATAACTTCTTTCTTAAAGCGTTTTCTTAAAAATATTATAGTCCAATCCAGGAGGCTAAATAAATGTTACATTCCGCCATTATGGAGGGTAGAATAAGTTTGTCATTCCGTTTGCAAATCATCGAAATAATTAATTTAGACCTAATAATGTACATAATAATATATTTCGTTAATGACTCTAGTCACATTTTTACGGAATTTTTAAAAATAGGCAATACTCTGTACTATGTCATACGTTTTACATACCGTCCTATTCGGTACCTCTCGATATTCCACATTTTGATATTTTTAATTCTTACAAAGTTGTAAATTGTTATTTGTATTGTCTGGAAATCGATATACAGTAGTTTTTCGATTTCACCACATAGTGCTAAGGGTATTATGTCCGTGTGCGTTTGTTTGTAATAGGGAGAAGGAAGCGAGATAGACCCATAGTTACTTTTGATATAGATCTGAATTTAGACACAGTCTCAATACAACTGTATCCCCTATATTCGGTATTTTGATGATTTTTGTCACCCTTTTGATAATTTTAGCTACAATTTTCACTGGTATTATCTCGTATTTGGAATTTGGAGTTCGCAATGGTTATTACTCCCACAAACAGAAAATTGCCTGTGCAGATCATCGTCTTCGCATAGTCCCATATGTGATTTTTTCTTGTTTTTCTTTCTTTCTTATTCCGAGGTTGAGTAGACATCAGTATCGCCTCGCTCACTCTTTCATTCAGTAAACTACCCTAATTTTGGTTCTGTGCTTTTTAAAGCTCGTTAAATCCCGAATTTGTTAAACAGATGTTTCGTTAAATCGGAACACTACTATATAATAGGCACTTATTTATAGTCTTTGTAGGACTTAGTTCTAGAATATGCACAGCCAGATATTTAAATGGAATTGTCTAAACATTTCAACTTGACAGTGGGTTCATGATTTTTTTATTTATAACTAACATTCCGGAAAAGCCAACATTTCCCTGTTAAGTATTTGGCGGAGTCGATAATAATATTTGTTATTTCCTCAAATTACTTTCTTTCAAGAATGTATTTTCTCTTAGATTATAATCGAATTCAAGAAGTAACATATATTGTTATACCCCCACCATACTATTATTATACCCTCCACCTTGGAAAGGAGGGTATATTAACTTTGTCATTCCGTTTGTAACATCCTTAAATATTCGTCTTAGACCCCATAAAGTATATATATTCATAATCAGCATAAAATTCTAAGTCGATTTAACGATGTCCGTCTGTCTGTCTGTCCGTCTGTCTGTCTGTTGAAATCACGATACAGCCCACATTATTTGACGTAGAGGGCCAAAATTTAGCAGAGCTATTTGCATTGTGTCTAGGATGGTTGGTATTGAAAATGAGATATATCGGTCCACGTTCTGGTATAGTCCCCATATAACGGTACCTTCCGATATTCGGTATTTTGACGATTTATGCCACATTTTTTCACGGATTTGTCTGAAAATTGGTATTTGTAGGTCATAACGGGTCCCTGAGCGTGTGGCAACATTGCATGTATAGGTCCACGTTGTGGTATAGCCCCCATATAAAGGTACCTCCCGATATTCGGTATTTTATTTTTTTTGCCACGTTTTTTCACGGATTTGTCTAAAAATTGGTATATGTGGGTCATAATGGTTTCCAGCTCCGGTGGCGAAACATTGCATGTATGGGCCCATGATTTGGTATAGCCCCCATATAACGGTACCTCCCGATATTCGGTATTTTATTTTTTTTTGCCACATTTTTTCACGGATTTGTCTGAAAATTGGTATTTGTTGGTCATAATGGGTTCCAGCTTCGGTGGCGAAACATTGCATGCATGGGTCCATGATTTGATATAGCCCCCATATAACGGTACCTCCCGATATTCGGTATTTTGATGGTTTTTGCCACATTTTTTCACTGATTTGTCTAAAAATTGGTATTTGTGGGTCATAATGGGTTCTAGTTCGTGTGGCAAAACATTGTAATTATAGGTCCACCTTTTGGTGTAGCCCCCATATAACGGTACCTCCCGATATTCGGAATTTTTATGGTTTTTGCCACATTTCTTCTAATGTTTCTTTTACCCTAAGGTGGAGAGTATTAAAAGTTTGGCCCGGCCGAACTTAATGTTTTTTTACTTGTTGTTATATTAAGTTTGTTATTCAGTTTGCAATCCATCGAAACAAGCAATTAAGACTTTACAAATATAAATATTTTTTAGGTATATAAAGGTCGTAATGCAATGTACTTTTAATGTTAGAAAATTGTCCAAACAAGTACACATTTTCCCCTACGTAAAATTTAGTATTAAAAGTTCGTCATTGAAAGGGTATTAAAAGTTCGGCCAGGCCGAAATTAACGCGTTTTCACTTTTTCTGTAGTCAAATTTTGGTTCACCTAACTCCAACACAAACAAAACGAAATGCCAAAGTAGACAATCAAAAAATATCAATCGTTCATTCACAAAATTTGAGCTAAGTAAAATATTGTGTTTGAAAATTGATATTTCACACAAAATGTATGGTCCATTTCATCCGCTGTGTTGTGTCGATCCCAATAGGTGCGCTTCTTCTCTGGTCTCAACATCCAAAACCAACGGACGCAATCCTTTATAAAAATAAACAAATTTTCTTTGTATAGGTGAAATGAGCTTTTACACCCAAACGAAAAAAGTAAATGAACCGAAATAAAAACTTGATTGTATGGGTAGCAATTGCTTGTCTGCCTTAAACAAAAGTTCTGTGAACCGGCTATTAATCTGTTAGCCAGCACTCACTTCCCTAACTGTACTGACGCGGTTATTAATCGGCAAACCGATCAATCGTATCGTAACTATTCGGCTGGGGGCCTAAATCTGATCGACAGAATTGTAAGCATATCCAAAATTAGGTGGACCATAGACACATTCAAGCCTTTTAAATAGCCCCGATTCGTCGACATTATTCCCGCCATGTTACAGTATATCTCGGCATCAATATCTCCAATTCTGTCATACTCCCCATGGGAATTGTATCCGTTTTGGAAGCGGTTATGACCAAAACAAACCGGACATAATCCCCATAATTGCAATGGGGATTATGTCCGGGCACCGACATGTCACCTCCAAAACCAACGGACGAAATCATATTTAAAAAATAAACAAATTTTCTTTTTGGAAACATGAAAATGGTTTAATATTATTAATGTTTTTATTGTGTTGTGGGTCATTGCTGTAGTCTTTTGAGTCCATCTTTCTTAGGGCCCGGTAAAAAATGTAATGAAATATGTAAAATGAATATTTAATGAAATATTAGGAATTAGTTAAAACTGTGAGACTTTATTTATTTAATTGTTTTTAGAAAAGTTGCTGTTGTTTACAACAAACAGAAACGCCCTGCAATTAAGAAAAATTAAAATGCTAACTTGAAAAAAATTACTCATTTTTAACACTATATCTGAAAAATTCGAAAGTACCAACGAAACGTTGGGTAAAAACATGATTTTTTTTTATTTTCATTGAAAACCGTTATATGGGGACTATACGAAGACGTGGACCTGCATAAAAACATTTTTTTCATAGGCTGTAGTATACATTACGAACTTCAAATACGAAATTTGAAATAATTCCGGTAAATAATGTCGCTAAAATCATGAAAATACCGAATATCGGGAGGTACCATTATGTGGGGGCTATACGAAAACGTGGACCTACAAGGGCTATTTACGAACTGAATTTGCCTACTGGTAAACTATGCATGTATGCAAAATTTTAGCCTTCTATCTAAATTCGTTCGAAAGATAGCGTGATTAGAAAAGACAGACGGACATCTCTAGATCGTCTTAGAATTTTACGCTGATCCAGAATAAATATACTTTGTAGGGTCTATTATAAATATTTCGAGGAGTTACAAACGGAATTACAAATTTAATATACCCTCCATAGAATGATGGAGGGTATTAAAATAAGTATAATAAAATAAACAAGTAAAAAAGTAGCTAAGTTCGGCCGGGCCGAATTTTTAATACCTTCCACCATTTGGTAGGGGGTTGAAAATTTTAAAAAACTTCTGGAAACTACCACTTAAATGAAAACTGTTAA